CCTCCAAAATTCATATATTGAAATCCTCCCAAGGGGCTTGAGAGGTGCTAATATCATGAGTGGCCGGCCCCTCATGAGTGGTATTTGTGCCTTTATAAAATGGGCTCCAGATAGATCCCTTGCTACTTCCACCACATGAGAACATACCAAAGAGCTGGCAATGAACCAGGAAAAAGGCCCTCACCCTTTTGTGACTGTGCTAGTACTTTGCTTTTAGACGTTCCAGTCTCCAGAACTGTATAGGTAATAAATTTCCGTTGTTTATTAGTTACCCAGTCTGATATACCCAGTCTGATGTACCAGCCCAAATGGACTAAGGCAGAAGGACATCCTGTGTTCATGGATTGGAGGATTTAATAGTAAGATAACAACACTACCCAAAGCAATCAGCAAGCAGTACCCATTATTTCCAGACTTCAAAACTTACTACAAAGTGAAAGTAATCAAAATAGTATAGTAACTAGCATAAGGACAGACATACAGACAAATGGAATAGATAACCCAGAAATAAACTCTTACACTTATGGACAGTTGACTTCCAACAAGAGTGCAAGGTCATTCATTTAATGGGGAAAGGGCAGTCTTTTTTTGGTCAAATGTTGTTGGGGATAAGATATCTACATGCAATAGAATGAAGTTGGGCCCTTACCTCACACTATACAAAATTAACTCAATAAATAATAGTGAAAGGGAATAGAAGGGAAGGGAGAAGAAATGGGTAGGAAATATCAGAAAGGGAGACAGAACATGAAGACTCCTAACTCTGGAAAAAGAACTAGGGGTGGTGGAAGGGGAGGAGGGCAGGGGGTGGGGGTGAATGAGTGATGGGCACTGAGGGGGGCACTTGACGGGATGAGCACTGGGTGTTATTCTGTATGTTGGCAAATTGAACACCAATAAAAAATATATTATTAAAAAAATTAACTCAAAATGGATCAAAGGCTTAAGAGCTAAAATCATAAAACTCATAGAATAAAACATAGAAGAAAATCTTTATGACACTGAATTTAGCAATGATTTCTTACATACATCACCAAAGCACAGGCAGAAAAGAAAAAAAAAAGATAACTGAACTTGATCAAAAATCTAAAACTTTTGTGCATCAAAGGACTCAGAGAAAAGACAACCCACAGAATGAAATATTTGCAAATCCATGCATCTCTTACAGAATTAACATCTAGGATATATAAAGAACTCCTATAACTCAACAAGACAATAAACAACCCAATTTAAAGATGGGCAAAAGACTTAGACACTTCTCCAAAGAAATTATACAAATGGCCAGTAAGCAAGATGTTTTAACATTACTAGTCATTAGGGAAACGCAAATAAACAAAAATCACAATGAAACAGATATCACTATACACCCACGAGGAGAACTATCACCAAAAAAAGTCAAACATAAAAGATGTTGATGAGGATATGGAAAATTGGAACCCTTATATAGTCATTGCTGGTGGGAATGTAAAATGGTACAGCTACTATGGAAAGCGGTTTGGCATTTCCTCAAAAGGTTAAACAAAGTTTTTTTTTGGTTTGTTTTCTTGTTTTTTTAAAAAAGATTTTACTTATATATTTGAGAAAGGGAGAGAGAGAGCACAAGCAAGAAGTAGCGAAGGGAGAAGCAGACTCTCTGCTGAGCAGGGAGCCTGAGTGACATGGGGCTCATCCCAGGACTCTGGGATCATGACCTGAGCCAAAGGCAGCTGCTGCTTGACTGAGCTACCCAGGAGCCCCAAAAAGTTAAAACATAAACATAGATTTGTATGATGCAGCAATCCTACTCCTAGGTATGTACTAAAAAGAACTGAAAATAGGGCATCAAAACAGGTACTTGTATACCAATGTTCTTTCAGCATTATTTAAAACAGCCAAAGGTAGAAACAATGCAAGTTCTACCAACAGATGAGTGAGTAAACAAAATGCAGTTTATATGTAACTTGGGACTTTTACTCAGCCATAAAAAGGAATGAAATTGATACATGCTACAACATGGATGAACATCTAAAAGTATGGTTAAGTGAAAGAAGCCAGATACAAAGGACACTGTATAATCCCGCTTATACATGGTACCCAGAATAGGCAAATTCAGAGACAGAAAGCAGAATAGAGATTACCAGGGGCTGAAATTGAGAAATTGAGAGTTTAGAATAGTTTACATTTAGACTCATCTATATTGTTGTGGATATCAAGTTTATTCTGCTTCACTGCATACTATATTACATAGTGTGCATCATTTATTTATATTCACCTTCTGATGGAAATTTGAGTTGTTCCCAGTTCTTGGCTAATATAAGTAAAGCTATGAATATTTGCGTGCAAGCCTTCCTATAGACACATGGTTTCATTTTTTTGTGGGTAAATACTTAAGCATGGAATAGCTAGGTTATTTAAGTGTATGTTTAACTTTCTAAGAACTGCCAAACTGTTTTTCCAAAATCTTGTACTAGCTGAGAGTTCCAGTTGGTCATCACCTACACTTGATATGGTGAGTCTTTTAAATTTTAGTCTAGTATATGTGTAATGGCATTTTGCTATGGTTTTAATTTGCATTTCTTTAGTGACTAATAATGTTGAACATTTTCATGTCTTTTTTGCCATTTGTATAACCTTCTTTGGTGAAGTGTCTCATCAAATCTTTTGCCTTTTTATTGGATTGCTTTTCTTTCATGTTGAGAGTTCTTCATATATTCTGAATACTAGTCCTTTATCAAGCATGAAATATGCAAGTATTTTCTGTCTGTAGCTTGTTTTTCATTCAGTTTCTTGCAGTTTGTTTTACTGAGGACCTCAGTTCCTCACTGGCTGCTTGATGGAGTCGGCTGTCAGCTCCTTACTACATAGGACTCTATAGGCAGCTTGCAACACAGTAGACTGCTGCACAGAGGCAAATGAGAGGAGTCAGAGAGATTGGCAAAACAAGTATTTTTCATGATACAATCTCCAGTGACATCTTACTGCTTTTGGTATATTCTATTCCTTAGAAGCAATTTACCAAGTCCAGCCTTTACTTAGGGGAAAAGGATTGCACAAAACCTGCATGAAATCCAGGAGGCAGGGATCAGGAACCATTTTAGAAGCTGTATTCACAAGATATGCAGATGCTCATCATATAGTATCTTTGTTTTCTGTAGTTGAATTTTTTCTTAAAAGATTTTATTTATTAATGAGAGACAGACGGGGTTGGGGGGGGGGGAGACATAGGCAGAAAGAGAAACAGGCTCCATGCAGGGAGCCCGATGTGGGACTTGATCCCAGGACTCCAGGATCATGCCCTGGGCCAAAGGCAGATGCTCAACAGCTGAGCCACCCAGGTGTCCCAGTACTTGAATTCTTTTTATCATTCTGGAATTGCTACCAGATGTTGTTATGTATACTATAATCCTCTTAATCTTTTCTATTTCTTTGCTTTCTAGTGAAAGAGCTCCTCAATCTGATGTTCTCACTAATCAGTGGAATGTTGTCTACCATTTATCTCATGTGTTATTTCAACTATTGTATTTTTCACACTTAATAGTTGTATTTGACTTTTGTCCCATATTGCTAATATTTTCTCTAATATTTATCAAGCCATCTTTAAATTATTGGTCTTTTCAAGTATTTTTGCTTCAGATGGTATTCACTTTTTCTTCTGAGGCAGTTTCAGCCAACTAATCTGGGTTGTGGGTCCAAATTCTCCTGGGCATATGGGTTCCAAGTCTGGGAGGGTATACTGGAAAAATGTCAAAAACCAAAATATCAAGTGTTTTAAGAAGGGAACAGACAAATTGTGGGACAGTTACAGGAACCACAAGACCACATGTAATTGCTCCCATTCAGTAACATCCTATTAAAAAACACTTTTCTCAGAGCCTTACCTTTTTTTTTTTTTATAATTTTTTTTTAAATTTTTATTTATTTATGACAGTCACACAGATAGAGAGAGAGAGGCAGAGACACAGGCAGAGGGAGAAGCAGGCTCCATGCACCGGGAGCCCGACGTGGGACTCGATCCCGGGTCTCCAGGATCGCGCCCTGGGCCAAAGGCAGGCGCTAAACCGCTGCGCCACCCAGGGATCCCGAGCCTTACCTTTAAACTAGTTTAGAAAGCAGCAGCTCTTGTAGGAAGCAGTCACCTAGATTACAACTCACTTTTGAAAGGGAAGGGTTAGAGAATGAGTGAAAGGCCTAGGGCAGGCAGGTCATTCCCCTCTAATTTCACTAACTCCTCACTTATCAGGAATTTTACATTACCCTGGTATTACCCCTGTGGACACTTGTAGCTTTCTGTCCTGCGGCCTCCCTTTCTGTAAGGAAAACTGCTATCATGTGTGCAAGGCAAAAGTTGGCCCTTTTTCTGTAAAGGGCCAGATAGTAAATATTTTTGGCTTTTGGGGCAATAAGGTGTGTCACAACTACTCAAACTCCACCTACACAGTGAGTTCCAATAAAGCTTAATTTAAAAACAGGTAGTAGGCTGCATTTGGTGGGAGGGCAGTAGTGTGCTGTCATTCTCCCTAGCCAAAAGTGGGGTTAGAGGAGGCAAAAGCAGAATGTAAACTACATTTCTTCATATATTATTTTATTGCCTCCACCAGTAGCCCCATCTTCAGATTGTCTCTGACAGTTGAAGAGTTTGACTCCCAAGAGGTTTCTTTTTATTTTTGTTTCGTTATTTTTCTGGATTTCAAGTTCCCTTTATAGTTCTAAGGAGGAAGGTAGGAAACTATGCTAATTTATTAGCTTGGCAGGAATAGAAAACCAAGTCAGTAATTGTTTTTGTTTGTGTTTTATTTATATATTTTTGGCAGCAAAATCATTAAAAAAAAATTGGGACTATGAACACACTTCACTGCTTTAGTTGAAGAACCCCAAGCCAAATAAAAGGACCAATATTAAAAAGCAGAACTGATTACTGTTTTAAAGATACATAAAAAGAGTCAAACACAACAGTGTAGGAAGACAACCACCCCCGTGTCAGAAATCACAACTTCTTCCAAATAAAGAATATGACCCATCTGCCATATTGAATTGATATTTATTTTAGGACATGCCATGTCAAAATAAAACAAAGAGTCAACCCTTGCCTTTAACAATAATATTGTATTATAAAAGCACTTTACAACTCCATCCCATCTTTGAGTATAACTTACTGGTATGTGGGCTAATGATTATCTGAAAGCATTTCTCTATTCAGACCCATAATCCAAGTGCTCTCTGAATATTACAAGGTGACAATAAGTGGGAATTGGAGAAGGAAGAGGAAAGAGGGGAATAAGGTTCTCCCAGTTAAGGGCTTTGTTGCAATGAGGGGCTGAAGGAGTATGAATTATTTTTGTTGCCTTTTCATCTTTATACTGTGTTAAGTAATGCTTACAACGTAAATTCAGTAGGCTTTTCCTGAGCTGTAACTCAGAAATTTTCTTCCTGCAAACAATGTATTTACAAATGTATTTATTAACTTACACAGCAATCTCACAATAACTAGTAAAGATTAAAATGGTGCACTCCTAGTATATTTGTTTACAGTGTTTTAAGGGAAATATATATTGCCATGGTGATGAAGCTCTAAATAGATTAGTCAAAACATCTAAAAACTGAAAGTAGTTTTTTAAAAAAAGGCAAAGAAATAAATATCATCAAAGAAAAAAGATTAATTCTAGCTTAAATATAAAACTAAATCACTGGTTAATTGACCAAACTATACAGATCTAATAAAAAGCAAAACCAGACTAAAAGACCCAACATTAAAAAAAAAAAAAAAGCTAAAAAATAAGGCATAAATCTGCATAATATTGAGTTATTTCCATTCTCTCCTTTCCCTCTTGTATGTATGCTTTTCCATATCTGCCTCTAGGGGCTTGTAAGAAAACTTTCCATTTTCAATTTGACCTCCAATGTCCTGAGCAAAGTATTTGCTATTCTGTTGAGGATTCTTTTGTTGATAATCTTTTAGTATCATTGTTTCTACTGGTTATTGTAATTTTGATCAAGGTGCCAAGTTTAAATTCTTCCACTGGTTCTTCCCCCCCCCCCCCCCACTGGTTCTTCTTAAAGGAATTTGATTTCTATAGTGCCTTGCCTGCATAGCATTTTTTGAAAAAAGAACAAAAACCCAAGAGAAATCTATTGCTTACAAAAGTTTTCTTCTTCTTTTTTTTTTTAAACAATTACCTTATCTTGACAATTTTAAAATCCTGGGAGAAATAGTTCACTGGAAGAATTTGGTATTAAAAACATGTTCTGAAGCACTGTTATCCTTTTCTCCCAGAGACTAACACATGAAAGGATCATTTGTTTTGGTCTGAAACACACTGTATGTTCACTTAACTTGTAAGTACTTAGTATGTTCATTAGGACTCATTTTGAAGATATATCAGAATCTTTGTCTTATTCAAGCACTGCCTACCATGATAGTTGAGTTTTGACCTCAAATAAAATCTAATTTATATCACTGCTCAAAAATAATTTTGGACATCTTGGCCCAAGGCCTAGAGCAGGTGGTATCACTCAATTTGAAGGATCCAATGGGCTTGGTCTGAGTGCTGCTGTGTCATACCTCATTTGTTTTGAGGGAGAGAGTAAGAATACGGAATGCAGTAAGGGAGAAGTGAGAAAAGCAGAGATCAAGTAGGTAGGCAAGTGCTGCTATGAACAACTGCTCCTTAACCAAACCACATAATGTTGAAATTTCCATCATTTTGAAGTACATTATCATAACATTGAAAAAGAAGAAAAGTTGAGAAAATGTATCTAATTTTTAAAGTTATCACTGGAATATGTTGGAATCATTTGGCTTTTTGTAAAATATAAACAATGAAGACACTGACTTTTTGTGCTTGTGAAGCTAATAGATCATCTCCACGAGACAGGCAGCAATGATGAATTGCAATACATTATTACTGAAGGGAAAAGGTTCAAGCCAATATTCACACTGCAGTCAATGAAAGAGTAAGGGGGCCAAAGCAGTGAGCTTCTGGAGAAAAGTTAAAGATGCCATTGGGGATTAGCAGGAGCAGCCTCCTTCACTGACCGGTTGCTCTTGAGGCTTTTCCAGTTTTATGTCAATCACTGAAACAAAAGTTAAGGAGCTATAATGGGAAAGTACAATTCCAATTCTGCTGAATACCGACATCTCTTGCAAGCCCCTTCCACTTCCATTCCTATTGGCTTCAGAACATTATTTCCTATACAGCTAGTTGACTACATTAGGTGCTCAAATGGAATAAACTTGCTTATAACTACTACATGCAACAAGGGTCAGAAAAAGATTAAGCCCTATTCATGAGAATCGGTTTTAAGGAAATTAGCCAAGCCAGAAACCATGTAAAGATGATATTCCTTATGGGATTATCTATAATAAAAATCTGAAAATAGCCTACAAAAGAGTTCTAGCAACAGAAAGAGAATAAATGATGTGACTTCAACTCTGTAGAACAAATCCTATTAAAATAATAAAGGTTTAGAAAATGCTAAAACATTTAAGCAGTGAGAAAAGCTGAACACAAAGTACTATGAATCCTATGGCTTAATAAAAATGCATATGGAAAAACACTCTAGGTAAATATGAAACAATTAAAATATTAAAATTAAAAATCTTTTAAAATAATATGTCTTGTTTCTGAAAGCAGAAGCCACAATAAAACTCCAGATTAGGTATTTCCTGCTTGTGCCAAACAGAAAGCTCAAATGTCAGGAAAAAGCAAAGGAGGAAAATATGATGCATACTATAAGGAAAAAGCCAAGCCAATGGGACTCAAAATTAAGAGGCAAAAGGCTGGGATTCTAAGTTTACTGTTCATTAAAAATCAAGCAATTAAACAAACACAAACCCTCTCATTGATTAACTGCAGTGAACAGCAGGCTGCAAAAGGTACACCTGAACCACCAGATCTCATTTACCATTAAAACCATGGGGCTTCGGGGATCCCTGGGTGGCGCAGCGGTTTAGTGCCTGCCCTGGAGACCCGGGATCGAATCCCACGTCGGGCTCCCGGTGCATGGAGCCTGTTTCTCCCTCTGCCTCTCTATCATAAAAAAATATAAAAAATGCTTTAAAAAAAAAAAACAAAAACAAAAACCATGGGGCTTCTATGCTCCTAAGCCCTGAATTCCTGGCCGTAAAAGGTAATAGCATAATATTCCTTAGCCAACCAAGCGGAGCTCTAAAGACTAGTGAACAATAAAATTTTCTGATGAAACAAAAAGGATACTGTCTTCTCTGCTTCTGTCCTGTGTGCTTTCCATTCCAGGCAAAGCTGCTGCAACACGTCGGAAGAGCTGTGGAAAAAGAAATGTGGTAATTGGAAGGGAAAATATAGCAAGTGGTATCAAGTGAAAGTGGATGATCAGTGGATAGTGAGTTAAAAGATATGGCCTCTGTGTTAGACCTTAGCATAATGAAAGCATATTGAAATGTCTATTTATTGTATAAATGAGCACTATATGCTGTATGCCATATATGCCACATGTAAAGATATGATCCTTACTTTTCAACTGATGAGATCAGACATGAACAGCTCAGAAGTAAGCAGCAAAAATGTCATTTGACTTATAAAAACAAAGTATTATAACAACTCAGAGTAAGGACAGAAGATTGATTGCTTATTTAGGAAAACTATATAGTGGCATTCCTATCTTTTATAAACAGTTTTTTAAGGTCAGTGAGTATATGGTAAAAATCAGTCTAGTCAAAATTACCCTGGATAATTCCTTAGGAAAGCACTATGTTAGAGACCAACACACCACCTCTCAAATCCAAAGCAGATGGCTTTTCCTCCATCTCTAGTGGAGCCAGTGGTTGGCTTGTGTCTGAGGTATGATTTATGAAAAATATCTTCAAAAGGAGAATCACACTAAGCCTAATGAGATGGTCACTTTGAGAGGTATGCAGGAACAGAAACTGACTGAAGGAACAACAGATTCATACCTCCTATTATGTATCCATTACTATGCATATACGCACTGGGAAGAATGGTAGGTGAAACTGCCTTTTTATTTCAATCATTTCTCTTTTTGGCAAGCAGTATAAATTCCTACAAGTTAAAAGCACACGTGATACAACTCCCTTGTACTAAATACCTGCCTGTTTGAGTCGGGACACAGAAATGAACAAGATGTAGTTTTTTAATTCAAGGAGCACACAGTTTGGTAAGAGAGATAAATGCAAATAATTCTTTATGTTATAATGTGATAAGTGCTATCAACCAAGAAGTACAAAATGATATGAGAACACAGATATAAAGCCCTTCTCAGGACACAGGGGAAAATCTAGGTGGTGACTGACATTTTCAGTTGGGATTTAAAGGCAGTTTTCACTTGGCTAAAAAACATGCTATGCAAAGTGCTCAGAACTTAAGTGCTCCACAAATGTTGCTGAGTTAAAATGAGAAGTGATAGAAACAAGAGAAAATCAGAGATGAAAGACTAGAATCCTACATCATCTGTTTAGGGAAAGGAATATAGAAAGGGAGCAAATTTTTATCTGTAGGCAATAGCCTGGTGGGGTATGATTAGGGAAGACCTGAGGAAAAGTCTAATTGTTTTGGTTCTATAAGGTTTAGGAGCATTTTAGAGATCAAAGTCATTAGCCTCAATATTCTTTTTCCCTTGCCCTCAAAATTACTGAAATCAGAAATGTGCTGACTATACACTATGGCTGCTAAATTATTGAGAGCAAGACTGAATATCACTATTATAGAATGAATTTTCTAGAATGAACAATTTGGTATCATGCCACACTTGTCAGCTGCGAGACAATCAAATGCCTGAACAATGTTCAGAGAAAAGCACAGGTATATTCAAGAATGTTGAGGTAGTCCAGACTGGCAGAGCACAGAATATGTAGGATTAGAAGGAAACTTTGTCCTGCTGGCAAAGGCAGGCATTAAAAACAGCAGTGTGCATCAGGACTTTTATCAGTGATTCTAGTTCTTTTACTATGGCTACAAAGAACTACAAATCACATCTTGAAAGTACTTTAAAGGGCAGAATGGCAAAAAGCTAAAAACTAAAAGGTGAAGTTCACAGTTTATATTCTGGGCAGGCCACTTAGGTGACAGGTCATCTTTCTGTTCCTCAGTTTTCTCATCTGTAAAACGGGCTTAAAATAATAGTATACTTAACTAGATTATTTTTTAATTTATTTTTTAAAAGATTTTATTTATTTATTCATGACAGACACAGAGAGAAAGAGAGGCAGGGACACAGGCAGAGGGAGAAGCAGGCTCCATGCAGGGAGCCTGGCATGGGATTCGATCCCTGGTCTCCCGGATCACATCCTGAGCTGAAGGTGGCCCTAAACCGCTGGGCCACGGGGGCTGCCCAACTAACTAGATTATTGTGAAAATTAAGGGAAATCATTAGGTTAACTGCTTAAAACTGATTTGTTATATATAAACAGTAGCTCTATTTCTACTAGAGACTAGTCATAATTACTCATGGTCATGTGGGCTATTTTTCCAAATGTTATGAAATTCTGGAGTGAATTCTTGGACTAAAATAAAACACCAATAGGTGTAAAATTCTGCTCTAAGAAGCCATTTAAAACTAGTGGGAAAGATGTGGGGGTTGGGAAAGACCTCAAAGTATTAGGGCAGAACTGAAATGTTTTTACTTATGAGTATCTAGAAATCTTCCCAAGATCTTCTAGTTTGCTTCTGATATGAAATATTTATTTTAAAAACTGTTTAAATGTTCAAAATGCACAATCTTTTCAGCTTCTAAGGATATCAAAGTTTATTACAGGCTAGCTTAAAAATGGAAAAATGTATTTAATAAACATTAAAGTGTGTGTATATAGATGTATATATGCACATATATATGTATATTTTTTGTGGAGGAGGCACTGGGAAAATTTTTCTGTAAAAATGGAATAAAATGGTTTACAGGTTCTGACGCTTTAAAAAAAAGTACATAAGGGATGCCTGGGTGGCTCAGCAGTTGGGCATCTGCTTTGGCTCAGGACATGATCCGGAAGTCCCAGGATCAGGTCCCACATCAGGCTCCCTGCATGGAGCCTGCTTCTCTCTCTGCCTATGTCTCTGCCTCTCTCTCTGTGTGTGTCTCTCATGAATGAATAAATAAAAATAAAGTACATAATTAAAGAGGTCTTTCAGAGATGGTATTGTTATATTCTTACTTGTCTACCTAGTTTCATAATATAACACAGTAGGGCATCCCGGGGGGCTCAGCGGTTTAGCGCCACCTTCAGCCCAGGGTGTGATCCCGGAGTCCCAGGATCAGGTCCCACGTCAGGCTCCCTGCATGGAGCCTGCTTCTCCCTCTGCCTGTGTCTCTGCCTCTCTCTCTGTGTCTCTCATGAATAAATAAAATCTTAAAAAAACAACACAGTATTCAATGTGTTTTTAGAAAGAGTGTAAAATTCAAATCAAGAAACTACTACTAACTACCCCCATTACGATAGCTTTGTGACCTCGAGGATATTTCCCTAATCTAACTTTAGATTCTTTCTAAAGAAAAGAATGGGCTAGAGTTGTCCAGTTCGACTTATTTTTACTTTTGAAGTTAATTAGAAATATTTTAGGAAAATTTCCTTGAAAGGTTATGTTTCGTGAAGTCCTTCCCTTTATACCAGTGGTTCTCAATACCTGCCATGCATCATAATAACCCAGGAAACTAAAAACAAACAAAACCAGATGCATGGGTTCCACCTGCATAGATAGATTTAACTAATTTGGAGTGGGGTGAGGCCCTTACTGGTTCATTAAAAGATCTCTAGATGATTCTAATGTGCAGCCAGGGTTAAAGATCGATGATGCTGTAACACTAATTTGTAAGGAATGTGAAGTAATAAAAAAGAAGCTAATGCTGAGTGATAAGGGAACAGAAGGCAAGCTGAGGATAAAGCAGGAACTGACACCCAGCAACCTCCTTGCCCCCAAAGCAGATGGGATATATGTGACTGTCCTCAGGCACTCCCGACTGCCCCAAAGCTAAGGAAAGGAAAAACAAATAGTTAACATATAGAGATCACAATCCTGCAAGGCATGAGTCTCCCTCAGTTTACAAATGTCTTAGTAATTTATAATAAAAAAGCATTTTTATCAATAACTTAGCTTCCAGAAGGCAATGTAGATACAATTAAATGTCCTTAAAACTTAGCAGCCCATTGACAAAAACTTGAAGTGGGCAGAGTGTAATCTTCCTCCAGGAAGCTCCCAATTAACTTAATGTTAAAGCCTTCCTAAAAGGAAAAACAACCTTGATTTGACAATGGCAAGGCCTCCAGTATCCTATGAGTCTTAACTATGAAAATCCCATTAAAACCTCCCTTGTCCTTAACTTCCCCATTTCCCAAGTGTATAATCAGCCATCTCTCAAACCCTGGTGCAGCAGCTCTTTCTGCCCAAGGGTCCTGTCTCCGTGCTTTAGTAAAACCACCATTTTGCACCAAAGGCATCTCAAGAATTCTTTCTTGGTTATCAGCTCCAGATCTCACCCCATCAAACCTCATCTACATTCCAAAACTCCATCACTGAGTGCTTACTTTGTCAGAATCTTCATGTTTCCCATTTTAATCCTCACAGTAACTTGTGGGGAAGATATTAATATCCTCATTTTATAGAAGATTATTTACTATATACCAAATGAACAGCATAGCTGAGACTGCAAAGGTAATATTTTTTTTTCTCCTACCTTATACTTCTTAGTATAAATGGGAGGTTTTCTTTCTTTCTTTCTTTCTTTTTTTTTAAATGGAAGGTTTTCTATGTGTGAAGAAATTGTTAGCTAACAATCCAGGGTAAGAGGTATTTGCCTTATGAAATTATACATACAAATCACAGACATAAAAACTTTTCTATACATTTTCTAGGACTTAAAATTTTTATCTATAGTTTTAACCAGTGTATTTGAAAAGTTTGGTGTTCTCTCAAAATATTTCAATTAGAGGAAAGGAATCAATGTCACTAACCTAAATTCAATCCAGGACACCCTAAAATGAGCCAAGTAAAAGCCTTACAAAAACAATGTTCTAACCTTATAGAAATATGTATAAGACAGGAAGGCGGGCAGCCCTGGTGGCTTAGTGGTTTAGCGCCGCCTTTGGCCCAGGGCGTGATCCCGGAGACCAGGGATAGAGCCCCACTTCAGGCTCCCTGCATGGAGCCTGCTTCTCCCTCTGCCTGTGTCTCTGCCTCTCTCTCTCTGTCTTTAATAAGTAAATAAAAAATCTAAATAAAAAAAGGGGGGGAGGAGGCAAAGACTCTAGGGGATTAAGCTTTTTTAAATAATCATTAAAGGAAAAATCCATTTCTTAA